CCTTCAAAGCACAAAAATTCTCATTTGTCAGGCCTGTGCTGCCTTTCTCTGCTTTTATGTAGGGAGAATTATGATCATCACCTTGGAATCATTTCTTGATGGCAGCTGAGGGAGTTGCTGCTTTGATTTTCTTAGCCAAGATTATTATGAACAGCACGACTTGAGAAACACTTGCTAAATAAATTGCTTAATTATACAGAACTCTGCAAAGTGACTGTGCATCTTCCTCGCACCAAAGCACCTAGCAGCTGGGAAAACTTTACCCAAATTAAACTTAAACTAATATTAAACCAAAATAAGGAGACACACGACTGTATTTTAAGAAGTAACAAAAAAAAAAAAATAGTCCCTCTCTGCAGTAGCTACATGAGAGTTTTCATGTACACAGGTGTAGGACTGCCATTCTGTAAGAGCTGTACCCCACAATTTAGGCTCTTGGAGTAAGAAAGATCTCCACTATCTTGCTGTCATTAATATCAGGACTAAGAACAGACCATTCTTTGCTAATTTTAGCAGTCTGAGAAAGGCAAGGAGGAATAAAAATACTCCAGCACATCCATCCTCATTTTTGAACACGTTCACTACATTTGTCTCATAATTTTACACTCCCAGTCTTGAGATATTTCACAGATGACTTTTCAGTGGTATGAAAACTTACTGGGCTCCTGATCTTACTGAACATAATCAGTTTGCAAGGGACAACCATTCCAAGAATTTGTTACACAGCAGAGCTGTGGTCTGTGGAGGCCTAATTCTAAATCCAACAAATTAACTGCTAGTACGTGGAGCTTCCTACTTTATCTGTGCCTTTCCTTTCCAGTGATTTTCCATTGATGCCAGAGATTATCTCAAAGCACTGCGTTAAGTTTCAGTGCCTCAAATCAATAGATTAATCACTTCATCAACCTTCACTTAGCTTTGGAGGATTGTTTTGAAAGTAAGACAAACCTAATGTTATTTTAACCTCGTTTTTGTTTGCGTGTGTGGGGAAACAGCTTGATAGCACAGATAGCACAGATCCCCAAGTTTAAAAAAGCACAAAGTGTCTCAGATAACATTTGAAGAGTTTTTCTTGAGTACCTGCCACGTACAGAATGTCTTTGGCAGTGATGCCAGCAGGCTGGGGAGCCAGCAGAGAGGTGTGCAAAGGATGATGACCCCCCTGCCACGTAGGCACTGGCCTGTCCTCTGCAATTCACGTCTTCCCAGGTTTTTGCTCAGGGATTGTTAGATAAGCAGCACAAAGATGGTTTCCATGGACACTTTCGGTGATCTGCTTGCAGCAGAGGAGCAGCAGCTCAGTCTTTAGATGCAGGTTTTGCAGCTCTGCTCCTTCCCAGCTGAGGCTGTGCTACCAGAGCAGGCTGTTGGAGAAGCTGTGTTTCAAACCTCTCTGTGATTCTGAGTGGCTCCTTCCCCTCCTCGACCAGCTTTGTGCCACTTTCATTGTCTGTTCATGGTGGGAGACACCATGCCTTTTGCACACAGCCACTGGAAAGGACTTTGTTATGCACTAAAATGCAATCCTCACTCACAGCCTTGGTAACTGGCAGCATCTAAATTGTGATGAACAAAATCAGGCTGTGGAAATTGGTGCAGCTAAAAAGTAATCTGGAAAAAGAATAATTCTGCTACAACCAGATGGTCAGATGCACAGAAGTATCAAAACCCTTGGCTGGGGCTGGGCTGGCTGCATGCTGGGTTGTGCTTCTCTGCATAGCTCTCCTCATTCCAAATTGCAACAACTGAAAATGTTGGGATGCTGAATTTAAAGCACAGCTCCAGCATTCCTGGGAATGTCTGGTATTCCTTACAGACGTTACACTACCCAGCATGCAGCAGCCTGCTATTTTTGACTCAGTCTCAAAGAGGACACAGTGATTAGGATTCTTGTGATTTAATTATGCTTCTTGTTTGGTTGGGGTTTTGGTTTTTTGTTTTGTTTTTGGGAGGTTTTTTGTGTGTGTGTGTTTTTGTGGTGGGTTGTTGTTGTTATTGTTTGAGACATTTCTTGTCCCCTTTGTTCACATTTGAAGTCTGTTTTCGGACCTCTGTGCACAATTAGAAATTTCCAGCAATACTCCAGTGTCAGTTTATGCCTGGTTCATTTTTTGCACGCTAATGCTGTTTTATGGCCCAAATGTACATTTTGCCTTCAGGACACATCTGTGCATTGTGATGAATGGTTCTGTCCACACAGCTCTGCTGCTCCTGGGTGGAACCAGCCAAGCTTCTCTTCCAGGAGGACAGGGGTTCTGCATTTAGTTCAGTGTGCTGTTCTCCTTTATCCGCACTTGTTTTCTATTTCTGCTTTGTTTTCCATGCATGAGGCCTGAACTGGACTTGGTGTTTCATGTGCGGTCTCGAGAGTGTTTGTGCTACTTCTGTACCTCTGGATCTGCAGGTAGCC